TATTTGAATGTGTATTTGATGAATATGATGATGCAAATATATGTGTATATATGTAATAATGTAGACATGTATGAATATACGAATATGAATATGTGTAGATATATATATATATATATATATATATATATATATAAGCATAATTGTGAGTATTGATTGTGGATTGATGGTTAGATGTGTTTGAAATTGATTGAGAAAATAGGTTAAGGATTCTCGCTATAACGAGAAGACCCTAGGTGAGTTGGATGATTTTGTTGCGTTCTTGCTGTAGCGAGAAGGCAATAGAGAAGGATGCATTCTGAGTTGTAGTCTTGTTGTAGCGAGAAGGTCTCACTGTAGCGAGATTCTGTAGAAACCAGAATGCAATTTTCTCTGATAAATACTAACTTCGGCATGAACAGTAAAGCGGTGTGAAGAGTAGCTCCAACATGAACAAGGCCAATTTTTTTTTTTTAAATTTTGCTTATAAATAGGGGTCATTACACAAAATTTTCACTTCTTCACACTTCTCAAAGATTCTAGAGAGACCCAAGGCCATATATCACCATTTTCTCTCATACTAAACTTTCCTAAACTTAGTTTTCTTGTCAGATCTGAGATTTTACGTCTATTATGAAGGATTTGAAGTAAGTTTCTATAAGTTTGAAGTTAGATTTCCGTTCATTTCTCTTTTCTTCTCTTTCTTATAGATAGTTAATGATATCTTAAGAGAAATTTCGTTGTAAAGCTAAATCTTCGATGGATCTTGCTTTAAAACAAATAATATTCGGTAGATCTGGTGTGAATTGTTATTCTAAGGTAAGGGGAGCTTACTTTAACCACTAAATGATGTTTGGAATAATTTGGTATGTTTTTACAAGAAGTTTTGAAATAATTTTGTCAGATCTCTTGGATAAAAGCTATTTTCTATGTTGTAACTGCTGTTAATTGATTTAAAAGCTGAGATTTGACTAAAATATATGAATTATTTTAGTTGAGCTGTTGAGAATATGATTTTGTCTATGCCGCATCATGCTGAGATATATGTCTTATATCATTATAGAGCTGAGTTACATGTTTAAGTGGGTAGACATGTAAAGATAGAGCATGCTAAGCTGTGTTGTGCTGTGTTGTCTGGACCAGATACCGGAATGGGTCGCTCTCAGACTAGCTCGATTCTTTCTGGATTACTTAACTGTGAAACCAGCTAGAATTATTTTCATGTTGTGCATTAGATGGGCTGAGAATGCATGAGGTTGTTGTTTGTGAGTAATATTTTGCACTATATATATATATATATATATATATATATATATAATTTTATTTTATTTTTGTAAGCTCACTCTTGCATTTCTGTCTATGTTATTGTGTGCGTGTATACTGCGATGATTGTACGGTAGTACGTGAGCAGATGTACTAGGTATTACATCTACTTCACAGGCTGAAGGGCCAACAGAGAAGTATTAGATGGTTGGAGTCAAGTAATTTTGCATTAAAGTCATTTTCCTTATATTTTGAGATCTTATATAGAAGGAGTTATGGAGTAAAACTTTTGTATATTTGAGTATTAGGAATTAAATGTAATATTATGTTGTTTTGTTGGATATTTGTTGTAAATAACTTTTTTTATTTTGAATGACAAATGAATTTTATACTTATATTTTCTGTTATTTATTTATCTCAAATAAGAAAGTGATGTAAAAATAATGTTCTTGATTTCTTATTGTCGCAACCGGGCGGTCGCAACGGTACAGCGAAAAATATTTTCAAAAATATCAGAGGAGTCGCCACCAAAGTTTATTTTAAGAAAACCTTGGAAATTTTTTTTTTAAAATATCATGATCTTTGAAACCAAAAATGAGTTCGAGAGTCATTTACGTGTGGGGAAGGTATTAGCACCCCACAACGTCTGTTTAAAACGGTTACCTAAAATTAATTGTGCAAATTTATTTAAATTCTGAAAAATATTTATTTAATTTCTAAACATTAATTATTTTTATTTTAGAAGAAGAAATATTATTTATTGAGATATTATTTGGGTTATTTTGAAAATTATTTTGACTTGACGGGTACGGTTCTTGCTCCTATGTATCTCCGGGTGCAATAAAAAACTCAAAGTCACGCAATTATATCTAAAAAATTATGAAGTTAGTTAATTAAAATAAAGTTTAGTAAAAAAAATTTATTTTGAGATTAAAATTATTTTCATAAAATTATAATGTTTAGGATACAAGATAACGCAGTTATACATGTACCATACGAGAAAACAATACAGAAAGTGAAGGAAGATCGCACAACTATATTACAAATTGTTAAAAATATTTTATTCGTAAATAAAATATTTGAATTTGAATTTTAATTATGATTAATGTTGAAAGAGAATTAAAGATAGCGTAAGCTATACATTAATCTCTTATAATTTTTGGACAATCGAAGGTAATGTAAATCACACATCGATGTTATAAAAAGAATATATAATATAATAAAAATGGAGAAACGATTTGTTATTTAATTTATCAAAATTAGAAATATGATTTAAGAAATTTTAAAATATGAAATTAATTTCATTTAATGAAATGAATAAATAAATTTGAATTGATTTAAAAAATATTCAATAATAATAATAATTAATTAATTAATTAATTAAAACTTTATTTGATAAATTTATGTTATATAGAATCTAAGGTAATGTTGGTACACACAGGTTCTAATAATTTATAATGCATAAAGGTAGAGTCGCTATACATTAGCATTATAAATCATTGTGTTCATAAAATAAATTTTATTTAAATTGATTGATTAGTAAAATAGTAATTATAGAGAATAGATTTTGATTGATTATTAAGATAATTAAATTTTAATAACATATGATAAATTAATATTGTCCAAAGTATCGATAACATAAGTACACGTAGACTTTATCAATTTATAACATATGACGATAGAGAAGCTACATGTTAATATTATAAATTAATGCAATTATATTATTTATTTATTTAAAATGTAATTTATTAACTAATAAACAGAAGATTACTAAACATGAAATTAAATTACATAAACATTCTATAATTATGTAATACAGATAATAATAATAATAATAATAATAATAATAATAATAATAATATATAAAAAAATATTTCAAAAATTCATAAATATACCAAATTTAAGTAATAATATCATAATTATTATGAGAATTGTTATTCTCACATTACTTTACCTATCCTTTATATAAATTATTTATTTACTTATTTTCAGATTTAATTGGTTGAATCTGATTTTTTTTAAATAATAATAATAATAATAATAATAAAATATATTTAAAAAAATAAAAATAAAGTGTTCATATCTAACACAACAGTAATTCTAGCTCAAATTTTTTGAAGTCCCATTACTTTTTTATTACACAACAAAGTAAACAAATAATAAAATAAAATTAAAAAAGAAGAAGAAAAAGGAGGTAACTTTAATTGTTGTAGGTTGCAGCTCAGCTCTGAGCACGTCTCATCTCCTTTCTTATCAATCAAACAAAGCAATAAAATAATTCTATAATGGTGTAACTTTATCAATTACATAACGTAAAACTAGTTGCATTCGTAAATGCTTCTGGTGCTAGCAATCACGTCAAACATTTATTCTCTTTTAATAATAAAATAATAATTCTATTAGCAATGATAAATGGTTCGTTGTTACTTCTCTTACCATTCGTCTTCTATCTATTGTTTTCATTTCATAAAAGTTAATACATAGGTATTTGGATGTAAGTTTACGAACAAAGATAATACCTTGTTATCAGCCGAGGAATATTTTCGAGCAACAATAGAAGATAAAGAGCAGCTGTTAACGGTGCAGTTTCTTCCCCTTTTTTCAGATCTTCTCAACTTTTCTTAAAATTTTCGTCTTTCCCTATCTCATCTCCCTCTGAAAAGCTCTCTCCTTCTAATTTTAAAGATTTGTTGAATCTCTAAAATTTTTCTCTTTTTCGAAAACTCTCTCGGATCTCTTACTTGAGATTTTATATTGGGTTCATTTAAGATTTTTATAAAACGCTAAAATCTTGAATTTTTTTTTTCTTTTCATGTTTAAAATTAGTTTTTGATTTTGGGAATAAACCTGCATTATGCAGGTTGCTTTTCCAGGAAGCAAAATCATTTTTTTTCAAAAAAATTTCATTTTACTGTAAAATAATTTTATTTCATTTTATTTTTTATTTTTTAATTTTAGAAATAATATCTGAAAGACAAAAATTAGTATTCACATTTATAAAAAGGAATCGTAATATTATTCGAATAATATTAACTATTTAGATTGAAGAAAGTTTTAAACTTATAATTAATTTAAAATATAAATTATAATTAAAGAGGGTGTCATGTGTACTTAAAGAGAGTACGCTAATGCAGAAAATGACACCACCGCACGAGAAAGTATTAAAATAGTTGCAATATTGACAATTGAGAGAAAGAATATAATGGATCAAAATAAAAGACAACAATACAGAATAAGTGAATCAAACTCCGTAAAAATCAACGAAAAGTATAGAATAGAAGGCACCGTAATAATGTTGAGAGGAAAACATACCCAAGGCTGAGAGAGCTGTCATGCCAATAGAGCTTCAACAATAGTCACAATGGTGAATATATATATTGCTTTATATATTTAATACATATAAAAATGTGTATATTTAATTGTTAATTTTTTTATTATAACTAAAATAAAAAAGTTAAAATTGATTAATAGTTTTAGAGATTTATTGACTAGTTTGGTTTCAAAATATTGACATAAAAGGCCATAAACACAATTGTTATTAATAAATAGATATTGAATAATCTGAACACGAGCGCCTGGAAGCTAAAATTGTTAAGAAAATTATTACATCATGCATCCCAAAATAACATTAATAAACCATTGTTATGATGATCAAGACAATAAGGACAAGGATGACATGTCTTTGCATGCTTTTAAGATTTGCAATGTTATGGAGGGACAGACCTTATGATATACCAAGGTTACATATATAATATCAAACTCTAGCTGTTTTCCAGAATTGTTCTTAACATCTCGCTGTATTGTTCAACATCGTCTGGGTTTATCTCATTTCCAAAACAATTATTAGTGTCACAATCTTTCTCTAGCATTTCTATGATATCATCATATGCTGTTTCAGTTTGATCCATTGAAGCATCTGGCAGAGGGTTTCCCACTGTATCACCAAGATTTTGGCTTCCGTTGTTGGCCAATCCAGTTGGAAATTCATGTGCAAAGGATGGATTGATTAGGGCTTTTTGCACTTTGTGAAAATATGATTCATGATTTTCAGAGTAGTTCATTACAAGCTGGTCTTGTTTCTTGCTCACATTTATGGATGCAGTTGATGCAGGGCTACCTGTTGCAAGTTCAGCTGTTATTTTCAGTACATTCTTCCAATGCTTTTCACACTATTTATTGAAGTTTATTGGACTTAATCATATTAGTGTCACTTTCTATTTAATAAGACTCGTTCTTAAAAACTGAGTCCCAATAAATTTGTCACTAATAAAAAATATTTTCCTAACTAGTGGACATTGGTCAAGGAATTTCAGGTAGAAATTATTATTAAAAATCACGACAAGATCTATTGAAAATCACAGAAGAAAGAATATTACTAATATATTCAAGACAAAACCGGTGTTTATTAGAAAAAAGTTATAAAAAAATGTATTACTAACATTTTTTTCTCAAAAATAATTGTGAATTTGTTATCTTATTGTACTTGAGCTTACATTTACAGACATGGCAACTCACCAAGGGAACTTTGGCTTGCCAATGGGGAAGGAGTCCAGCCGCTAAACTTTGATGATGTATTCACCGGACGTAAACCAACATTGCTTGTGATCTGATAATGCTTTAGCTGAGATTTGCATTTCTGTGTGGACGGAGAAAATTGGTGATCATATACAAAAGGTTAACAAAGAAATGTGAATTTGCAAGTCTTGTGACTCAAACAATAAGCGTGAATGCAAGAAAAGGATAACATAAGGAAGAAAATAATAAAAACGTGCTTCCTAATCCTAATTTTATACAGTGATGCTCTGTTCAAACCATTAATTAACTGTTTTCATCATTAAAATTTTACAAGTAGCAATTGACAATAGAGCTATATGATATTAGTGAAACCAATTTGTAAACTATTAACATTACATATGTTTTAGCCACCTAGTACTGTAGGCAAATTAAACTTCGAAAGAAACAATGTTGTAATTAAGTTGAAGCGACAGAAAAAACCTGCATATGACTTGAAATCTGGCGTGATGTCAGGTCAGGCACATTCATTAAATTTAGTATCGCTTTTGGGCGAGCATCTGAGAACAAAAATAAACAAAGGAATCCATAATTGACAGTTGTAATGAGAATAAAAATTATGGAAATTAAGGGACTCTTTGATTTCAAAAAATGGTTTTTTTTATAATATTCTTCGAATATTTGTATAAGAAATACTGAAAATAAAATCAAGATCAGAGTTTTATAATTAAAAGTGAAAACAGAAAAATAAAAGAAAAAAGTTGTCAGAAACCAAACAAAGCTTAATGAATTGAATATAAAATGGGAGCAAAAGTAAAGTACTTTTGTTGCCTAGCAAAGCTACTGCTTTTGTAAACTTGAGATGCAGCTCAGGAGTCCACACAACACGCTTCTTTCTAGCATACCCAACTTTGTGTTCTCTTCTTTCCTCTGTCTCTTTGGCTATGCAATAATGGCTCTCAAATTTCATTGGTGATGACCAAACCTCTCCTCCTTTCTCTCTTTCCTTGCTTTCATTGTCATCTTCTTTCCTTTCACCATATGATCCACCAGCTTCGCATTGCGTGGTCATCAGCTGTTCAGTGCAACTATTTAATTTTTAATAGATTTTCCTGAAACCCTCTCTCTTTTTAATTCGTTTTCACCTTTAGAATGTTAATGCCATGCAAATTATTGGACCAAACATTTACCTTGTCATTCAACGAATATTATATATATAAAATTTTTAGAGAATTAACATAATAAATATTTTAGACTACACAGACTAAAATCTTTAAAAGATATAGTGACATATATATTTACATTGTAATCCATTTGACAACCAACCTTGTTTGCATTTTGAGCTTCCATTGCTGAGGTAGGTTTCGAGGAATACACATGTTGCCACAAGCATTTGAAGTCATTTAAAAGGATTGGTTCTTCAAGGAAATAACATGATCCTTTAGCTAGTTCTCTCCCAATAACATCATCAAACCCTTCGGAGGAGATGACTGAACAAGACAAACAAATATAAAATTTAATACGAAATTGTTGGAGAAAATCTAAGTTCATTAATTGGAAAACCGAAAATTTCAACTCACAGATGACAGGAATGTCCTTCTGATGCAATAAATTAAGAAAAGAAAAGGCATCTATGGCAGGGATGTTGACTTTAACCATGACAAGTTTGAACCGATCTTCATGAGTGCAAATCATGGACACAGCCTCTGATACTTTATCTGTTGCAGTGACTGAACACCAAAACAATTATGAAGATTGTAGAATAGCTTCTACACTCAATGATCTTCATCCACAAACATATATATATATCTATTACTGTGCAAGTATTAGCAAATTAAATACGATGATTTGTTTAAACATTGAGAAATTTTCTTTTCATTTTTGGAACAAAATTGGAAAATAATTATGGGAATTGCAAATCAATATCTTTCAGAGTGAAATTTTTTAATGGAAAAATAGAAGATTTTTTTTAAACATATGAATTGTGTTTGGAGTGTCATCATTTGAATTATATAATAAGTAGTAGAGTAGCTATACCAGTGCAAGCTTAAAGTTAATTTTTTTTATTATGTGCTAATAATTATTATGTACCGAACATGAAAAATTTAAATTAAAAATAAAGATTATTAATATATTTAAGAAAAGTAGTTTCTAAAGATATTAATTTTAAAAAAAATAAATATAATTGAGTAAAATAAATGAATATTAATTATTATTATATAATTAACCTCTATATTATAAATGAAAATATATTATTTAGAGCTATTCTTTTCACATTCTGTCATGTGTACATTTTAAGATCAAAATAACTTAGAAAGACACGTGAATTACATTTTCTTCTTCTGCAAGTTAATTTCATTCTAAATTTTTTAAATTAAATTTGTTACTTAATTTTTCTTTATTATCTTATATAAATTTTTATACTTTTCATAAATATAAATTTTTATATTTATAAAATTTATTTTAATTTTTTATATTTTTTAATTTAAAGTTTACTTTTAAAAGTCTTATTTCTTAAATTTATAGTTATTAATGTATATTAATCATTGACATTTAATTAAACATTTTTATACTATGCGATAAAGTATTATTTTTTAATTCTTTTTCATATCAATGCATATTATTTATAATTAAAGAGTTAAGTCAATATAATTTTTTAAAAAATTATTATTTAAAATTATATATATATATATATATATATTAAAATAAAATATCACTTGTATTGATTGATTTGCTAAACTAGTTTATATAAAATCAAATGAAATAAATGAAAACCAAAATTTAAGATAAATCTATTATTTTTATTTTTCATTCATTCATGATGATATAATTAAGATAAGTATAATTTATCATTTATTATTTCTTTATCATTTAGTGCGTAACCTGAAAAATGAAATGAAAATTTTACTTGTCAATATAAATTATATAAATAATGATACAAAAATTTTACACTCTCCCATTCATCTGTCATTAAACATTCAAACATAATATAATGATAAAAAGAATTGTAATTTATATTTTTCATGTGTAAATACGGTTTTAATTTCTTATGAATTTTATCATTTAAATTTTTACAATATAAAATAAAAATATTAAAGAATAAAATAAATGTATTTAGAAAAAACGATTTAATTTCCAAAAAAGCAAAGACAAAATTAATGGCTTTATAAAATTCGGTAGTACCATATTAAAAATTTAATTTAAATACATTAAAGTTTAATTTATATTTTTTTTAAAACATATTAGTCTTTACATATTATGATAATTATAATACAGAAATAAAACTATTGATTATTTTTACAATTTGGAAAGTAAATTTCTTTATCTATCTTCTAAAAACAATAATTTTTTTACCTTAGTATTTTTTGGATATATTTTTAATAATATTCATTTTATGAAGTTATTTTTACCAAGAATATTATACAGAGGAAAAGATCCACTTACTTTAAAAGTAAGTATAAGTAATCTATAAGTAGATTAAGTTTATAAAATTTAATATAATTTAAAAATTATTTGATAATATATTAATAATTAAATATAAATTATAAAAAATTGTCATTTAAATTAATATTTTATTTATCACATAAGAATATTTTTATATTGATATATTTTTAATAATACGCATTACAGATATTATTATTGTCATAATTTAACTTTGCATATAATTTAAATTTGAGTTTAATTTATAAATAATTTTATATTTTCAACCAATTATATACAATAAATATGATTTTTGTAATAATTATTATAAAAGTTAAAAAAATTCTTGCTTATATAATAGTATAGGATTGGATTACAGCATAAAAAACTATTACACAGGCAGTGCATTTTACTGAAATTCTTTAAATTTATGTTTTTATTTTCTAAAAGTAATGTATCGATCCGATCTTAGTCCAATCTGATGTTCACCCAGACTATTTACTGAATCTGCTCAAAGAAAGGCTCTTAAAGCAACATGTTTTTGGTCTCTTTTATACATATAATAAAAAAATATATAAAAAATATCAAATTTAGACACTTACACTGAAATTTAATTAATGACATGCATTATCATAAAAATGATATAGGATTATTTAACAATTAGATTTATCAATCTTTTTGTTGTACAAAAAGTTATTAAAGGTAATGGATACTCTTTCTTACCATGGGCATATATAATTTAAAGAACGTTTTTTAAAGAACTATCTTATAATTTGCTTTAGGCGGGTCGTGTTTATCTCTTGGTCTCTGGGCAAACAATCACAAAGAAATGCAGCAAGAATATAAAAGAAGGGTTCAAAGCATATACCGTTGAATGTGTATTGCTGAAGCAGTGATGACAGATACATGAGAGACAATGTGTCATGATTCACAAGCAGAACGTTTAGGCCTCTTGCAAAGGGAGGAACGTAATTGACCACTGAAGACTCATCTTCCATTTTTCTGATAATTTAGAAGCTTCACAAATCTGAAGAGATCGAACAAGTATATACGAAGTTTGAACAAGAAGGAAAGTTTGCAATTGATGTCTGGCAAGGGTTATGCGATTTAAATAGAGAGCTTTGGGTATCAAAGATTGGGTTTTGTGTGAATATAAATACTTACCACTGCACAGTCTCATGTTCATCAAACGAATAAAGGGACAAATTTTAAAAGACATTTTGACAGAATTTATCTATTATTGATACGGACAGCTTTAATTTATTTTTTATTTTATATAATATCATTATACTAATTAAATTTTTATAACAATCTTTAAAATAATCAGTTTCTTTATGCATTATAAATAAAGAAGAAAGAATAGTATATAATGCTTTACAAAGTTTATACAAAAATTATAATAAAAAAATATATATTTTAAGACGATTATGAAAAATGAAAAATATTAAAGTATAGTATAAAATCAAATCTATATTATATATGGAATAAATTGTTAATATGTTTTTTTTTCTAAGTTTTTATCTTGTGTAACATAAAATGTGTTCTATTTATGTATTAATACAATTCAGTGTAAAATTTGTTTCATTCTCATGCAATAAAAATGTTCCTGGAGACATGAATGCGATGACTATAATTATTAGGGCAATCAATATGTATATTGATTATCGAGAAAGAATGACATGTTCGATATGATGGTGAGAACAAGAAGACAAAAGGAAGAAGAAAGAAATGTAATAGAGTAATAGATGATTATTCATATTTCTTGGTGGTAATTGAAAAGTAGTTAATAGTTAGATAATTAATTTATTGTGATTAAAATTTAAAAAGTAAATATTAAAATATATATTACAAAAAGGCTTTCAATTTGAATAAAAAAACTCTTACACTACTTTATATATATATAAACACACGTAATATGTATAATACTGTTATGTGAGATCAATACGTGCTACATAAATTATGTTTGCAATTATTGTTTCATAATTATAAAATCATTATATTTTTCTTCTTTGTGGCAACATGATAGTTACAGTCAAAGGCAGATTTTTTTTTTCAAAAGTTGTTTTATTAGCATTTACTGAGATTGTTTATAAATAATAATAATAATAATAATAATAATAATAATTATTATTATTATTATTATTATTGTTGTTGTTGTTGTGGTCAATACAACTTTTTGTAATTATTACAGGTTTGATTAATTTTTTAATATAAATATTTAACATTTAACGTTGTTGTCTTTTTTAATTTCATCATTGTTTTAACTTTTTAAAATTTAAAATAAAAGCATTTTTAATAATTATTAAAAACAATATTTTTACTTCTTTCAATAACATGTACTTAGTGATATTGTTAATACACCTTTCAATAAAATTTTGCAATACAAAAGTAGATTGTTAGTCAATTGTTTATTATTTAAAATTCATAGAAATTTTGGCATATAAACATACAATATACATGACATAACATGTGTTAAGTGATGTGATGTAAAGTTACTAACATTCGCTAAGTTTACCTAAGAATTTCTGACCTTATGATTGGTATGACTTGAAGATTAATTGTAATTATGACTTAAAATAAATAAGTCAACAATTTGAAGTCTATTGACCATTAGAAAAGGGAAATACATGTATATACATTACTACCTTCCATTGGTGATTGTTATCTTTTCTTCCAAAAGCATTTACAGCGGTCAGTGATTGACTGTTAAAATTATATTCACATCTCATTTATATACTTAAAATTAATGACAATGACACTTAATTTTTTGACTGATGAATGAGTCAGTGAGTGCAATGTAAATTTGCTTCCATTTGATGTTCTTAAAAATGTCACTAATTTTGTTAAAAATGACTAATAAGTTAGTTAAAAGTTGAAAATTAATTTTTAGTTGAGATTTAAAATACAAAAGCAATTAAGTTGGATTATTATAATTAAAATAGTAATATTAGTTATTATCTTAGCTGATAGTACAAATTAACATAAAAAGATATGTTTATACAATTTTTATAGTTAAATAAAAATATTTTTTTGGTAAAAATAGTTTTAGATAGTTTTACTTAATTTTGAACTTTTTTTATTTTTCTTTAAAGTAAAAAATGCTGTTAAGAATTAAAAATAAATAATATAATACTTAAAATAAATAGTGTAATATTTTAGGACATAGTAAATGAGAAATTTTATGAACGTAAGAGGTTAAAACTGAAAAAGAAAATTATTTGTTATAAGCACTAACACTATTTCAAGCAGTATATGAAAAATTTGCTACAAGTTAGTGCGATAAGCTTGTTTTTCAAATACATTTTATTTTAGTTAAACCACCTTATCAGTTAATTAAATAATTTATAAATTAGAAAAAATGGCTTGCCAAATAAACATTTTGAAACTCAAATAAGAAAGTCAAAGCATTAATTTTTGGATTTTGTATTACAAGACAGTCAAATGAAAAATAAAATTCATGCTTTCAAATTAATTGCCTAATTATTCTTTTATTTCGTATTAAAATATAATAGTTATCATAGTTCAATCAATCATGTAACTTTATTGAAAGATTTACAAAAATATTTATCTTAAAATAAATTATTAAAATAATATTATTTGAAATATATTACTAATTGAAATTATGTAATTTTTCAAAAAAAATCTATTATTTTAACTTTCATAAAATTAAATTTTTTTGGCATCTTTTAACTAACAAAAAATAAATCACTACAAATTTTACTGGGTTTGAATTTTTTGTGATTTTAGACTCTCCTCTTTCCCCTCTCCCCTCTTGAAATTATTCCATAATGATAATATGTTTCAAAATACATTATTTTATTAAATTTTTTTAAAAGTATATTACTTTCACAAATAAAAAAAAATCTTTTACTTTTTGAAGATTTTCGAAGTTAGGACAGAAAAAGGACAATTAAAAATGAAAATATTATAAAGTAAATAAATAATATAAGTAGAATAAGCACTTTTTTTTTATTACTTATAGTTAGTGCATAAGATATTCTAAAAGTTACAGTAGCCGTCGAGATAATAATAATGTAATAACAATGATAATAATAATTTGTGGAAGTAATACTAATAATAGTAATGATAATATTAAGTATATGTGATGGTAGAGTGATAATGACAATGGTGATGAGGTGATGATTATAATTGTTGTGAGAGTAATAATAATAGTAATTGTGACACTCTTAATTTTTTATTTAGAAATACATAATAATTTATAATAAGATAAAAAAATAAAATAAATTCTATTCAAAAGATGTAATATAAAAATGAGGTAAAATATTTTTTTTTTAATAAATAAGTCCATTCACAAAAGTTTATAGTTATTAAAAAAAATAAAAGATAAAATATTCCTTAATCATTACGTTTACACTGAAACATTAAAGAAATATGCATGTACTGTAACATTTTTATTTTGTTTAATACTATAAGAAAATAATTTCAGAGTTAAGAAGGAAAAATTTAATTTAATTCATTTGCAAGTCGAGTACAACACGTAGAAGTGTAAAATATTTCATTTACTTTACTAAAGCTTATAAAAACTTAAATGACAAAGTAATAAAAATTAAACAAATTTTAAAAGAAACATCGAAATAACATTAATACACATTGTTCTTATAAATTTACAAGAGGTTGACATTTGCAAAATATGACATCAAAATACATTAGAACTCATTTATATTATTTACAAAATACAAAATATGATAAGTTTTAATGAGCAATCTATCTATCAGAGGATCGAAAACGATATTAGTTGTCATCCCCAAACCATCCATCAATCTCTGCTATCTCCTTTAGGGATAAATCTTCATCTTCATTGAAGTCACCTTCATCGGCTACCAGTTTGGGGCCCATGATCTACTTAGTAGTGCAATGGCTGGGTCTCCCATGTTGATCATGGCCCAGAGAAAGTGTAAACATAGTTTCATGCATTTGGTGGCCTAGTCAAACCTCCATATATAACTACACACACAGTATGATGGATTCTACCACTCTTCGGATAATCTAATGGTACGTCGTATCCTATAGTCATCTTTAGAGTAAATATAATACTAGAACCATCATTACTTCGTACAATAAAACTACAATGGTATAACTATTGCCATTCTCTAGCCACTGGATTTATTCTACTGTTAATAAGTAACTCGGATAGGCTAACGAGTCCCTATGGGTTCGCCATCTGTACTCCCTGAAAAGTTATGTAAGGATGAGCCTCTATTCTCATTACCAAGCATACATTCACAATTAAGTTAAACAATAAAAGTAAAGATAATACAATAATCAATCATCTCACACCATTCATATTCATATACATGCAACAATCATTAATCATTCAGCTTAATACATTTTCTCTCCATTAATACTTAGGGTTCTCATTTCACACTTTCACTGTCCTTGGGATCCCTTAAGGTCTTCCTTGACATAGATAGTTGCTGGATAGTCATAGTTACACAGTTACAACATGTGCCGACTCAACCCCTTTTAGCAAAAGCATGATCAAGAGTTTAGGTCAAAAAATGAGTGTGAGGCCTGTGGTGCTCTTACTCTCAGTTGTTATGTGCAATTCAAGAGAGCATCCAATACCATCATTTCCTCAAGATTTTCCAAATAGCCTCCATCTTCCATACTCTCAGTGTACCTCTGAACTATCTACACTTGTCCTTATCATTTATCTTTCTCATTCTATTTCTCTTTTCATATTTCTCATTATAGCTTTACTCCTTTTATTAGCCATTATAACTTGAAGTCATTATTGTCTTTATACTCATATATTATTTGCCTTTTCCTCTTTCTAAGTTGCTCAGGTTCATCTCATATATAGATTTATTTTCAATACATAAGTCATTTCAATTCACCAAGGACAAGAAAATCTCATGTTATCATCAAAACCATTTAAACATAGATTCACAAACAAGAATACATAGCCATATCTATACAAGCATAACAAATCACGCTTTTAGGAACAGAATAGAACTTTCCTTACCTCAAAGAGCAA